GTAGCCACTTACTTGCTATATAGATCAGGCTGGCCTCCAACTTTTTTAAAGAAAAAACATTTAAAAACTGTTAATGTAAGGCAGTAAACTTGTGTACCAATTTGTGTATCGTGTGCATAAATCATAGGACTGTTACATACTTATGTAATCTGAAAGCATGTTCTGAAAGACATTGCGGTGATCACCGGGTCTGGAATGGAGTAGCCTGCTTAGTCGTTCAGTAGCTTTACAGGACTTCTCTTGTAATCTTAAGGGACAAGACAGCATACGAACAGCTAGAAAAGCTTCGGGCTTTGCAGACAGACTCCACAGTTGTTGTAATGCTCCTAAAAGTAATTGTGTCTTTAAACTTGGGTCTCTTTGCTGGCCAGTGGAGAAAATGAAAGTGCTCATGTCAGAATAGGACAAAGCAGGCATTCAGTAAACCACAGGGGTGTCTTCCTTTCCTTTCTTACAAGGGGGAATAATTCCTTGGCTGTAAATGATTCACAATGCTTAAATTATTAGAGAAGTAACGAAGAGAACTTGTTAGAGTATCTGAGCAGTTCATTACAATGGCTGCCATAAGCATCCTCCACAGACACTACCAACCTTGGCTATGCATTGGCTGGTCTGCGGAGCTTTAAAAATTCCTGTGCCTGGGCTCTGCCTTCATTAATATGGTACAGGCTGGCTATTTTCAAAATAAAAATTTTCAAAGGTGATTGTGGTATGCAGTCAAGCACATAGAACTTTATCTTTATTGCAACAACCATATCCTAAAGACTGTTCTGTTCTAGAGTTAAAAAAAAAAAGTATCAGAATTGTGTTTGAGGGAAAACGTCCATAAGAAAGTTTGTATAGACTAAAAGGAATTTTTCTGCTGGCTAAAGTCAGCCTATTGCTTGTTTCTCTAATAAAATTTGATGGAAACATAGCCATCCTAATTTGATTACATGGGGTCTGGCTGCTTCCATAGTAGAGTTGAAGAGTTACAGCAGAGACCATATGACCCATAGCTAGAATATTGTCTTCTGGCCCTTGATAGAAAATGTTTCTGAACCTTACTATAGATCAGTTTCCAAATTCATCATGATATCATTTTTTCAAAATGCATCCAAGAAAGTCACTTTACCACACAGTAATGTCTCCCAGAGTCTGCTTGGGTTCTTCCTTTAGGTGAAATGATGCCTAGCCTTCTACTTAAGCATCAGCAAGAGTATGCTTTAATAACCATTCCTAGCCAGGCATGGTGGCACACACTTATAATCCCAGCACTTAGGAGGGAGAAGCAGGAGGATCAGGAGTTTAAGGTCATCTTTGGCTGCATAGTGAGTTCGAGATCAGTGTGGGATCTTTAAGTCTAGGTTATGCATCTCAGAGAAAATGTGATATTTCCCATTCTGAATCTATTTCATTTCACATACTTATTACCAGTTGCTACTTTTTTGAGACACCAATTAACTTTACATTTTTAGTGCAATACTTAACATTTCTCCCTAAATTTTAAATTTGGAAAAATTGAAATAATTCATTATCAAAGAAACAAGTGTAGGACAGATACAGATCCCAGCATCCTGACTGAATATGTAGCAAGCTGGAGCATATCATCGGATGCCCCCCATCAGCTGTGAATGCCTCCCACAGGATGCTGAAGATGCTGGTGGCTTTTTCTGCTGTCTTCAGTTCTTTTGAAAAAGGTCTTAGCAACAGAGGATTCTTGTGCATTTCTTTTTATTGATTATTGCTGATAGGGGAGTAAGTAAGTGATACAGTGATATCAGGCCTGGCCATGGAGAATTTGCTAAGCAGCATCTTCAAGGTCTGTCACCTGTGCCCTTTGGCCAATCATGATTTCTCAGGAATATGAGATACTTCTTCCCACCCCCTAAATAGAATCTTATCCTTCTGAACCAGCGATGGGTCCAGTGGATATCTTGAACGAGCCCAGATGCTGCCATCCATGATTGGTCATTGAGGAGTACTTTGCTTTGGCTGTCTTGGCGTCACAGCTGCCGACATGAAAGCATGAACACCACTAATATTTGAAGAGATTTCGATAAGAACTGTTCATATATTCCTGTGAAATCAATACGGGATTGTTTTTGAAAGTTTTAGATTTAATACATTTTATTTTATTTTTTTTAATTTTATGTGTATGCATGTATTGCCTGCATGTAGATAAGCCCGCACATGTCGTACAACGCCCGAGGAGGACAGAAGAGGCTGTCGGATTCCCTGGAACTGGAGTTAGGATAGTTGTTAGCTGCCATGTGGGTGCTGGGATTCAAACCCGGGTCTTCTGCAAGAACAACCAGTGTTCTTAACCCCTGAGCCATCTCTCTAGCCCTTAGATTTAATACTTTTTTTAAAAAAATGTCAATTTGATGGGCTGGAGGGATGGCTCAACAGTTAAGAGCACTGACTGCTCTTGTAGAGGACCTGGATTTGATTCCCAGCACCCACATGGCAGCTAACAACTGTCTGTAACTCCAGCCAGGGGATCCAATGCCCTCTTCTGAGCTCTGTGGGCATTGCATGACATGGGTCCATTTACACACATGCAGGCAATACACTCATACACATAAAATATAAATAAAATATTTTAAATTAAAAAAAAAAGGTCTATTTGGGAGTTGAAAAATGTTCTTGCTGTCATTGTTTGCTAGGAAAACTGTGTCTCCTGGTGATTTAGTGAAGCCTTTGTTGGATGCACAAGAAAGTAGCTTGGCTGGGTGCCCTTTCCCCTCATGAGGGCACCCTCTCCTTCCAAGCTCTGTACTTTGGCCCGGTTGTCATTCTTTGTGGTGCCAGAGAAACAGCATACACCACCTGTTCTACCTGCTGATTTCTTTACCTGCTTTTTGTCACCCTGGAATCCCAGCACAGAATGGGTTTATGATAACTGGGCTATATAAGGAATTGGGACAGGAAAGGATGGGGCTTTCTTCAAAATAAACACTGGGAAATACACAAAGGTTCACAGGAACTTACTGGGTAAACACTCTGAAAATCATGTAACTGAGCATGAACTAAGTGTGCTTGCTTCAGCCCCTCCTGAGAAAGCTTCCCAGGGAATCCTGGAGTCAGGCAGGATACATCTGCTTGCAGTAAACCAGTACTTTCTCAAATTAGATCAAGAAAAGGACTTAGAAGAATGTCGCCTGCTTCCAGGAAAGCTTAGTGAGTAGGAAGTAGGCCTCCAACTAAACTGGGTCAGGGGTCCGGGGGGGTGGTGGGGGTGGGGAGCTGGTCTTAAGACCTCAGCAGTAATCTGGGGACTGTGTACTACTGAGTGACCTGGAGTTCAGCGTAATGAAGGCAGATGTTCTTGCCCAGTGTCTCTGTCTGACCAGCCTAGTAATAGGGCTTCTCTGGGAGGTGAGATTTAGACATGCATGTGTACAGATCTCTGTCCATTGCTGTTCTTGGGCATTTGACAACCCACCTCCCTGATCAGTTTGTTCAGAGTCCAATAGTGATCAGCAGGAATCTTTCTATTTGTTTTGAGACTTAACGTTTCAGAAAAATTACATTAGTCTCTTGCTTATTTCATTGAGAGTCAGGCTGCTAGGAATGGTGATGCACACTTAAAACCCTGGCACTTAGGAGGCTTAGGCAGGAGGATCATGAGTTCAAGGCTAGCATAGGCTATACAATAAGACTTCTTTCAGTCACAATCAAACAGAGCTGGACTAATAGTAACTTAATTTAGATCTTTTATATCTTTGGTGATTTTCAGTTTAGGAAAGATTATATTGGAGGAAGACTCAATTTGGTTTTGTTGTAGTTTGTTGTTTTTTCTTTGTGTTTTTGAGACAGGGCCTCATTATGTAACACTGACTGGCCTGGAACTCCCTTTGTAGATCAGGCTGGCTTGGTCTCTGTTTGGCTTGCCTCTGTTTCCTGGGGATTAAAGCCCTAAGATTGAACTTGGAATGAATGATTTAGCAAAATGTTTCTTACAGCCATTGTACATTCCACAATTCTTTCAAAGCTCTGGGCTAGGCATCTCAAGGACAAGGATGAATAATGTTGGTTAATGTTCTCTGGCAGTGACAGTGCTCAAGGTTTTACAGGTATGAACTAAAGTTAATTCTCGAGCAAATTTCAAGCTTGGTACTGCTGTTCTACATTTTCGGAGTGAAAAATTAAGACTTAGGGAGTTTAAGTAACTAATAAATAAAGGAAATTATTTGAGTTAATTAAGTGTAAGCTACATGAAAAAAAAAAAAAAACGGTGGAAATACATGGGATAGGTAGGTGGAGATGGACCATGGCCTGAATGCCAGGCTGAAGATGCAGGGTAATTTTGTTGGTAAGGAAGACCCACTGGGGTCTGGGCTCCTGGGAGTGATGCTGTAACTTCCTTAGGATGTTTCTCTGGAAATAGTGTGTGGAATGGGAACGACTAAAAGCAAGAGAAACAGTAAAGCCAGGGGCCTGACTAGGACGGTGGCTTTTTTAGGCCTCCTATAAGTCTCCTTGACTAACTTTTAGACATTTTCCTGTAAAGTGCCACTAGTTCTGGAATTGCCTTCAATTTCAGTAACAAAATATGAGTGAAATAAGACCAGAAAAATAAAAACATTAAATACTGAAAGTTTTTTATTGTTCACTCATTGTTTTATTGTCAGGCAGTAAAATGACTGAACTCCTAAGAACAAGGTGTTTAGTCTGGAGCTGTTAGAGTCATCTAAGTTCTAAGACCTACATTTTAACTAAAAAGTACCTTGATCAGCCATGATGTCATAATGCAGATTTTATTTTATTGAAGTCAAAAGTAACACAGTTAAAAAACTAAAAGTAAGCACAATATCAGTTTTCCTGATATTAAATATGAATTGAAAATATGTCTAAGGAAGAAATGCCCGAATGTGTTTACGTAGGAAAAGGGGAAATGATTGCTTCTTCTCTTCCTGTATCAGTTGTCTTTGCCTTGTGTAAACATTGTTATGTAAGGGTTGGGGGGCTCATGATCTCTAAATGTGTCCTAATTTATAATGGTTATTCTCCTGCAGCAGATCTCTGCTCATGGCAGATCTTCTTCCAATGTAAACAGTGGGCCTGAAGTTGACCGTTGTATGAGTCCTGAAGGTACTTCTGAATTTGATCATTGTTTTTATAAAGAAAATCATCCATCTGAACTTGATGGCTATCATAATCACACTGATGTTACACTTTTCCTAAGCAGGGACATGGTCATGTCATCTGTTAGCCCAGTTAGCCTTAGTGGGTGGTGAGAGTGGTGTCACATCAAGGTATGTGAAACCTCACTGGTGTCAGCCAGTTCCCATTCAATCTTAGACCCTGGCTTCCTTTCTTTTTCTCTTAGTGATGATGTACTCAGAATTCCTAGATATATTTTCTCTCAGTTGGATTGACACCAATTTGTATCTACTTTGGTCTGAGCACCAGGATACATTGTAACAAGTGGTCTGATCTTACACCCCACCATATATACTTTATAAAGGAATTAGCTTTTTCCAGGGCATCTAACCTTGATAGAATTTTCTTTACTGGAAAATCCCAAAGAGAAATCTTCAGAGTGTTCCAAGGTTGAATTTGCTCCCACCCCTTAGTCTTTTCAGCACATTCACAGAGGAGTTTTTAAAAGTTCTGGTTAGACTTTTAGGGCTAATCATATATTTCAACTGATATTTCAGAGATTTGTCAGGTTTATTGATTTTGATGGTTTCTGATTCCCCCAACAAGGTCAAAATGAAACTGGTGATTTAGGCATTCTATTTAGGAAATATGCTGAGAGATTTTCTTTAGTTTTGCTATAGACCTATAAATAATTGCATTGCAATTTATTATTTTCTAAATATGTAGAAGACAATGTATTATTTTCTAAATATGTATAAGATGCTGATGTTTCCCTCACACTTTGCATTGATGCTTTGTTGCAGGTGTCAATGGAAACAGGTGCTCTGAGTCATCTCTTCTGGAGAAATACAGAATTGGGAAGGTTATTGGTGATGGCAACTTTGCAGTAGTTAAAGAGTGCATGGACAGGTGAGTGACTAATTATTTGTTTCCCTACTCATTCAGTTCTCCCCTGGAGTTTATTCTTAACCTACTGAATGGAAGCCTCTATGGGAAGGTTCTTTTTCCCCTTTCCCTCAAGAGTCTATCCTTGGGACTAGCTGTTCCGCACGTGTGGCATTACTGTGCCACATTACAGTTAATACTTAAAAAGAGTGAACCTGAACTTGGAAGACTGCCATTGCTCCACATGTCTCCTGGAGTTGTGCTCTAGAACTATACCCTGGGTCAGGCCTCATCCATAATTTTATTCAAACCTGTTTCTCCAGCTTCAGTTGGGGAAGTACAAGCTTGGACCCACCCTTATCTTACCAGATAATCTTGCCCTTCCATCCCTAGGTCTAAAACATCTTATATACAGATGGCCAAGCAATACTTCTCCATCTTTCTAGTTTTCAATGAGGATACATGCACTGCCTTTCAGTGCTTTGATGTGTTAATTCTCAAGCACACCCGCATTCACTCATTATCTTTTTGGGGTAGAGTAGCAAATTGAGTTACCCAGGAAACAAGATTGGGTACCTAGGTCACAAGAGCATATGGCTCAGTGAATTTGCCTAAGTAAATTAAAAGCCAGTCAAGATTATGTCCATTTTATAAAAGTCATTCCTGCAGACATGGTCACCAGCAATTTGATACAAATTTTTTTGTATACACATGAAACAATTTTGTATGGATTTGGGCTAAAAGACACATCAGATCTCATCCATGAACCCAGAGAGAAGTAAGAAAGAAAATAAGCATTGAAATAAAAATATCTTGTGTAGCGCTTACCTGTGCCAGGCTCTGTGCTCAGTGTGTTCTGTGTTACCTCATTTAACTCGGACAGTAATCCTCTAGCCAATGCTTCATCAGTAGACTAGTAGTTCAGCATACAGGAACCATGGCTGTAGGATCAGAATCAGCCAAATTCTGCCAGTTATTGACTTTTTGTTTATGAAATCCATAAAAGATGCAGACTAATGTCTTTGTTTATAGACCACTATCTTACATGTTCTGAATTTTTATAGTTTGTGGTAGCTTTTTTCTAGAAAGTTTATCCATTTTATTCATTGTTTATCCAGTTTATTCATTGTTACATGTCCAATGAAGGTTTGCTACATTTATATTGCTATGTAAGGTGTCTTCTGTTCTTAAAGCCTTTTTTATAGATTGCTGCCCAGGAAAACAATGAAGTATTTAAAATAAGTTCTAAGGACCTGTTAGAAATAGGGTTTGTAATATGAGGGGAGCTGTTTTAGAGCATTACTCCTCTAGGCTGGGCCTCATCCCTGTATGCCATGAAACCCTTGGCAGAAGCAACTATGTATGAAAGACAAAGGTTTTCTAAGAGTACCATGGTAGGCTCTATAAACTGTTTTCATTTGAATATTTTTGGCATGCTCAGATTCTAACTATGCTAAAACTGAGTAAAAAATAATGACAGATCATCTCTTTAGCACTAGACAAGGTGTATAATGATAGAAATAACATAGCATCAGGTCCTTGCTGAAGTTTGGCTAAGAAAGAGATACTAAAAGTCTGAGAACTTTTCAGTTTTGAATTATAGACTCATGTGACTCGTGTATTAATGTAAAGAGGCACCAGGAATAAGTTTTTTTTCAGTTGATCTGACCTACTCTTCTTAGCTTATTCTCTCTCCTTAGAGACCTGTCTTGAGATTTGAGAAGTGTTTCTCTTCTAGCATTGACACAACAGAATTTAAATTCTTTATAAGTTAATAATAATAGAATTATTACTACTTATAAAAGAAGATTTAATTAGCATGGCTTTTTTTCTTTTCTTTTTTAGGGAGTTTTTTCTCCCTTGGCCCCTCTCAGCATTGTCTCTCATGGACAGAAGACTAATGCTGTGGAGGGAGTTGGGAAGGAAGGTACTCTGATTAAGAACTTTAATGGTTGTCCTCTGGTTATTCCTAGGTCTACTGGGAAAGAGTTTGCATTAAAGATTATAGACAAAGCCAAATGCTGTGGAAAGGTACAGTATGTATAACTGCTGTATAGAAGGAACAAATGTGTGATGGTTACTGTGACAGAGGTGTTTAAGTGGGGACTTGAGATCTTTGTAGGAGGAAACACGCTGCCAGTAACAGCAAGGAGAACAATGGGGTTTTGGTGGTGTTGGTGTTGGTTTTCCTGCTGTTTCCAATGACTTTGAACTAAGATGGTAAATTAATTTGATCTTGGTCATAACTAGAGAAAATGTGAAGTCTTTACTGTGGGATAGTAATAGTTCCAGATTCAGCACCACTTAAAACGTGTGCCTAGAAGTGGAGCCGAGATGCTAGTTACCTTACTTTTATGCCTTCTTTTATGCTCTGGGAGCTTCACGGCTTCAGGGAGCTAGTTCTGTGCCAAAGAAAGAAGATTTCACTTCTCACAGCACAGCAGGTGGCCTGCTTGCTCTGGCTTACAATTGATGCCTAGGGCCCCAGTCAGATGCTGTATACACACACTGTCGACTTGATTCAGACCTAAGGAGCCCTGAACCCCAAGATTTTGAACTGCAGTCTTATGAAGCAGCTACTGGAAAACCTGCCCAAACTTTTTTGCTAGAGAAGAACATTAATTTCATTATCAGGGTCTTGAAGTCATCTGGCTCATATCCTTCTCTGTGTTCTGGAGGGTGTTTGTTACACCGACATCCCTAGAAAGGTAGTTTGAAGCAGTTGCTGATGCAGAAGCACAGTGAACTAGATCCTTCAGCACAATGACCCGTTTTCTTCTGTCCTGTTGTCACACTGGGGTTGAAAAGGTAACTGATGAAAGGCCACTAGAGGACAGTAAATATTCAGGCACAGTGATGACAGGCCTGCGGACATTCCTTTCTGTTAGAAGGTCCCTTAGGAAAGAAGGCTGTGGAAGTGTGTCCAACACTAGATGGAGCCACTGGCTCCACATCACTACCAAGCACTTGAAATGATGTGAATCTGAACTGAACTTTTCCATGAGTGTAAAAACACAGAGGAGGTTCTGAAGACTTAGTACTTAAAAAAAAGAAAAAGAAATAGCTCATTAATACCTTTTCATTTTATTATGTGATAGGATTGTACTTTGGATATAATAGATTACATTATATTTTAAATTAATTACCCCTGCTTTTCATATTTTTCAGTGTGACTACTAGGGACGTTAGAATTGCATATATGGATCACATTATAATCTTGTTTGAATGCTACTCTGGAGCCAGATTATATCAAGTTCAATCCTGTCTTTGCCTCTTCTTGTTGTGTGACCCTGGGGAAATTATTTAAGTCATCTGTGTGTCTGTTTCTTCTTCCTCTAACATACATTGATTGATAATCAATGAGACATAAGGTGACTGTGATGGCTGATTGAGTCAAGGAATGGAAAGTGTGGGAAAAAGTGCTGTTATACATAGTAAGGATGCAACGCATGAACCTGTCAGCTGTGCTGGAATTTATAACTAGAGTGATGTGATGGAGATTTTACATTTATGGAACTGCTAAACTAGTTTTCATTGTAGTTTTCATCTACAAAATTAGGTGGTTTTAACAGAAAGTTTTAAATACTGTGAGGAAGTTTTAGAAAGTCTTCTAAGAGCTTCCAAAGTAGAAAATCCAGAAGGCGTATTTGTCATGTACTGATTTTCTGCTGTTGCTGTCAGGAAAGCAGAGGTAGCAGAATGACCCCAGTTTTTTCTACTTAACTTTGTCTAATTTTGAATGCTTTCACTTATTCTTTAAACTTCTTTGTTTTATTTGCCTCCCTCCCTCCCTCCCTCTCTCCCTCCCTCCCTCCCCCCTCCCATGTGGGTGTGCTTTCCACAGCATACTTGTGGAGGTTAGAGGACAACTTGGCTGAGTCGATCCTCTCCCCTGTAGTGTGGGTTCTAGAAATTAAACTCAGGTCTTCAGGTTTGGCAGCAAGTGCCTTTCCCCAGTGAGCCATGTCACTGGCCTGCTTTGCTCCTTTGTCTAACAGTATTATTACTCTTCAGCCATAATGGATTTTTCTCTATATGTAACTGCTGCTCTTTCCATCTTTTATGTGATTTAAACAGTATGTCATAATGTAGGGGGCCAGGTTCTTTTAACTATATTAAATTTTTTTTTAAAAGTGATAGAATTACTATCTCAAGAATACTGTTTACGTGGTTAAAATTTAAGCAGCTATTTTCCTAGTTAAAATAAAGATGATAAAAAAAATAAATAGATGATTATATGTAGGAAAATTAATCTGATACAGTAAGTATTCAAGACACATAGTTTTTGGACTTTATTTTTCCTTGTGACTGAATGGGGTTTTGTTTTTATAGTTCACAATTATATACTTATGTGCATACTTACATTTTGTCTGTTTGAATTATGATGTCCATATTAATACTAATTATATAAAATTATAATTTTAAAACTTGATATGTTACAAATATTGATTTTTTTCTACCATGAAATTATATTTTCATATAAAAATGGTATATTCTGTTAACAAAATGTTAGGGGCTCACTTAGTCATTGTTATAGGAAATGCTGCTCACCTCTGCCTTCTGGGCTTCATACAGAAAATTAATATATTGAAAATATCTACCAGCTTGGGAACATAGGGACTTTGCATACCCCTTTAAGAATTTACAGAACACTTCTGCCAGCTGTACAGAGAAAGAAACAGAGATTTGGGTTTAATAGCTTTCCAAAAGTCAACAGAGGCAAAGTCCTGAGTTGAATTTTGAATTGTTTAGCTGTACAGCCTGGGCTGCGGCCAGTCTGTTATGCACACTTGGTATGTTCAATGTGTTCTTCATGTAATACGCATCCAGGAAAATTTCTTAATCATTCCTGCCTTCTGTTTGTTCTTCTATAAAATACATGAGCATTATTAGATTAATGTATTTATTTGCCTAAATTTTGGTATGTGTTTTGTATGTGCAAAACTCAGTGCTAGGAGTAGGCAATTCAATGGATGAATTAGTATCAATTCTCCTGAGTGTTAAGAGCATTCAGGGGATGCATACGGGAGAGGAGTTGGTGCTCAGTGAGGACTCCATGGAGCAAGAACCATTTGAGGGATCTTGGGGAGATGACTTAGTGACAAAAGTGCTTGCTGTGCAATGTAAGAACTTAAGTTCAATACCCAGAATCCATGTCAAGGCAGGATACTACATAGCTCAAGCATCTGCAATCACAGTGCTCCTACAGGGAGATAGGAGACAGAGATGGGAGAATCCTTAGATGCTTGTGGGGGACATAGTAGAAGAACACAGATCTTGACAGAGACTTTGTTTCGAAGGTAGGAGGTGAGAAGTTGTGCTCTGACCCTTACATGAGTGCTGTGGCATGCATGTACCTGCCCCCCCCCAACACAACACACGCGCACACACTCACACTCTAAAATTTTTAAAAATAATAAATAAAAACCCAGAATCCTTTGAGTTGACCCCAGAGCCAGCTGGATTTCAGTGTGCAGCAATGAAAGAAAAACCTACCAGGTGGTCAGAACAGACTGAGCAAAGACCCAGAGGCACAGGATGCATCGGTTCCTGAGTAGGAGAGCACTGTAAGATCTGTCTTGTGACCAAACTTGCAGAGGTTGTTGAGAAGGCCATGGTTCGAATTCTTCCTGTTGTGTTCTAATCGTCCTTCATTCTAACGAATAGTCACTGAATCTTCAGTCAAGAAAGCCCCATGCTTTCTGGTAGGATGTTTACAATGGTCTTTCTTTCTCTCCCTACCTTAGTGCAATTTTGCATTCATCATCTTCGTATTATAGGCCCAGACAGGACATAAATCCAAAAGTATATTGTACTAGTTTTGAGCTGTTGGCATAAAGTGCCACAAACTTTAAATCAACAGAAAATTATCCTCTCATAGTGCTGGCATCTAGAACTCAGAAATCTACAGTTTCTTTGGGGCTCTTGGGGTGGTGGGGTAAGGTTCTGACCTCTGAACTCCAGGTGACTGATCCAGTCTTGAACATACTGGCCATGTCACTCAGTCTTTGCCTCCATCACATTTTCTCTTCTGGGTTTTTATAGCTCCTCTTACATCTGTGTGGATTCTCCTGCCTCTTTCTTAGAAGGCTGTTGTGACACAGTTAGGGCTCTTTTTCTGAATAAGATAGTATTTACAAAGTGCAAGGATTAGAACTTGATATATTTTGGCAAGCATTATTTAATTCTATCACATATATTTATCCCAGAAGCCACATTCAGTGATAGGAGCATGCTGTCTCCCTGGGGGATTATTCTCAGCAGTATTCACTCAGCATATCACTGCCCACTAGGATATCACAGTGGGACACTGCGTGGTCCATGTGGGTGCATAGTTACTGACTCAGTGCTGTGCATTAGTAATGACACTGTTCGCTAGAAAGAGAGGCCGGCACCTCTAGGAGCTCTGAGTTCAAGTACCCCAGAGCAGTCCACAAGCAAAAGACAGCAGGAGAGAGCTATGATTGACATAATTGTTGGGGATGGGCAGTGACAGCTCAGGAGAGTCACCTAGCTCAGCCTTGATGGACAGGGAAGCTTCTTTCAGGAGATGGGATCTGATCTGGTTCTGAGGAAGTGATAGAGCACCAAGAGGTAGGGAAGCAAGCTCCAGAATGAAGATTACCTGTGTGAATGCTGCATATCTAGGTGAGAAATTGGAAGGAGGGGTGAATGGATGATGGAGGTTCCCGAGAGGTAGAGAGGCAACGACTGATGAGTGAGGGAACATCTAGAGGGAAGGGGAGCTGAGGGAAGTGGAATTCCCACTTGTACTTGGCAACCAGCAGCATTCAGAGAGGCAGATAATAATTGAGGGAAGGGCTCTAAAAGATGATGTTCAGTTCAGAAAAGTTGTAGACTTGAGTCTTTGTTTCCCCTCGTCTTGTTGTACCTCATCCACTGGACCCCAAAAAGACCACCGAGGACCCAACACACCAAAATGCAAAAGCAAAGGTTTATGGTTTATTCGGGCTTAAGCTCGGGCTCTCAGACCTCACCAACTCAACGGATCCGTGCTGAGAGCCCAGAGAGCCCGTGCTGAGAGCCCAGAGTAAGGGAGAGTGGAGCCTTTTATAGGTTTTAGACAAAGAGAGGAGGGGGATACCGAAGATACATCTGGTTGGTTCAAGGAGCTCGCACGCGCCAACATAATTTTAAACTGATTGGATGTATAAGATGCAGCCCTGGAAGTTTCTTATTGGTAGGTGCTATTCTCAGAGCTGTGGAATGTGCTGACTGTTACCTGTGGGGCCAGGAGTCTCCGTTTTTACCTTATAGGGCAGTTTTTATGCTTAATCTATAGTTTCCTGGAAGGGGGGTGGGGAATAGCAGGCGGGGGTCAGGGCATGCCAGGGTATGCTTAGGCATGTCTAAAGCAGCAGCCAAGCGTTTTACAGAAGCTAAAAGAGCAATTAGTGGGGGTCTGGAGGGATTGGGGGGTAGCGGGTGAATGAAGAGGGTCTCAGGGTTCTACAGTCTTCTCTTTCTATATTGTTAAAAACCATCATGGACAAAGACAGTCTTCTTTGTCATTTACCACACAGAGATGGAAAGATTCATATGAAAATTATTTAAAGTTAGAATCCATGAATCACTTTAAGGAAGGAAGGCAGAGAATTCAATAACCCAAGTTCACCTGGTTGAAGGCAGAAGCGATACTCATAGTCTGTGTATAGACAGTTTGAAAAATATAAGCTAGAGAATATATTTATATGTTAAGGACTGACTACCTGTGGGTTGCAAAAGCTTTCTAAAATTAATTAACTTGTATGACTGTTATGTCTGCATGTATGTTAAGTACACCCATGTGCAGTGCCCATGGAGGCCAGAAGAAGGGGTCGGATCCCCTGGAACTGGAGTGACAGACAGTTGTTAGCCGCCATGAGAGTGCTGGGATTCGAATCTGGGTCTTGTGCAAAAATAGCCAGTGCTTAACTGCTGAGACATCTCTCCAGCCCTGCAATAGCTTTTTGTGCATTACTTTTGTTTTGCTTCTCATGGTGATTAATTTAAAAAGATTATTTCCTTTTAGACAGGCATAGAAAAAGTAGAGAAAGACTAACAGCTTCCACATCAGAACAGAAATCAGAATCTCTCTGTGATTAGAACAATAATGTTTTCTGGTCCAGTACAGTAAGCTAAGATAATATGTAACTTAGATGGTAAATGTTGCACAATACTCACTCAGTGTTTGAAGTTAGCGCTGTCATCCCTGGAAGAAGTTCCTTGGTAGGTCCCCAGAGAGTTTTCAAGTGCCCTCTATTGAAAAAAAGATAATAACTTGGGGTGGAGGATGTTTGTCACCAGTCTCTTCGTGTGATAGACATCTCATGTTAACTCCATGTGAAAGAGCTTCTTTGGGTACTGCTGACAAGAACTGCTTTACATTTATAAATTAGCATCTGAAACAACCCCAGAAAAGATACAAATTTATAGACTCTTCAATGCTGGAGAAAATGGGCAGGTAGGAGGTGGGAGGAATGGAAGTCATAATCCTTTCACTTTAAAATAAGAAACCTGTTTGCTGTAGTGGTGGTAACTGCCATTGTCTTTGTTTCCTGTAGAGTGAAGTAAATCCATTTGCTTACTTTTACATCTGAAAGCTTCGTTATATGTGAATAAATGTGGAGGGTTTGCTGAGTCTACCCGGTGTGACCACTGTGCTTGGCTGTGTAGCTGCCGCCCTGAATGGGGGTTCCAGGGTGCTGGCTGCTGCTTTGTGCTCCTGCTCTGAGGTAGACGCCTGGGGTTCATAAACAAGCAGAAAGCCTTGTCCCTGACTTCCCAGACTTGTGAGGTTCTGAGAATCACTTCTAAGGAAATTTAGAAGTATTTGTTGAATGCTAAGCTGATCAAAAAGCCTTCCCAGTCCTGTTTTTTAAAAGGAGTCTGTGCAAATTCTCCTAACACAAAGCCTGGTGGTGGTCTTCACATTGAACTCAGTGAGATGCTACTGTTTGTTTTTGTCTTTCCTTCGAACTAATATGTTCAGCTTTACAGCTATCATTTTCATTTTGAAAAATTCCAGCTTGAATTTTGCTGAACTATTCCCCTTTCAAAAGCAATGGTGTACAGACAAGAGACATAGGACTTAGATGCTCAAATGGTGGGCTTATATTCCCTCACCAAGCACTGACCTAAAGATAAAGTGTTAAAATGTTACACAGGTTTCTTGCCTGGTGACTGACATTAGTGAGTAGTTTTCTGGTAGAGGTTCCTTTTGCCCCTTGCTAACATTTATCTAGTGACTTCTTGGATAGGGACAGTACATCCAGTATACCCGCCATCTGCAGGAGATGCAGGAGATCTTTTCTGCATGCTGTTTATTTGTGTGTTACAATGTATGCCTTCAGTTACCGGAAAGCATTTGAGTTAGAGCAAAAACATGTATACATGGAATATGCACAAAGAGAAGAACAGAGATGATGTCTGAAACTAGCGATAAACTGTGCCAGAATACCAGGTTCACTGCTGAGATTCGTGATAGTAAAGGCCTAAGGACAAATTTAGCAACAAATACAAACGTGTCTACATACATGTGCACATGCGTATGTGTTCAGGTAGTAAATGATGTCTTCTAAGGTAGGTTTTATATAAAAGCATCTTATTTCAATGTATAAGAGGGCAGTTAGGAAATTTTATAGAGCATTCTCTAAATTCAAAATGATTCATCATTGAAGTTAGTGAGGATCAGCAAGTAGAGCATTTAAAACAGAAGAGTCAGTGTATATAATTCATGGATTAGTGTATTGAGAATAGTTTTTTTTTTTTTTGGTCTTTTTGAGACAGGGTCTCCCTGTAGCCCCAGCTGTCCTGGAACTCACTGTGTAGACCAGGCTGGCCTTGAACTCACAGAGATGGGTCTGCCTTTGCCTCCCAAGTGCTAGGATTAAAGCCATGCCCCACCACGCCTGGCCCAAGAATAGTTTCTTAATTCTGTAAGTGAGCATTGTATAACAATGCAGCCCTCAACCGCATCACTTACCGAGACTAACACTAAGGTGGTGTTTTCAGGGGAGAAGTGAATACAGTTAAGGCAAGGTGGTAGTCCTTTGATACTGTGCCTTTTCAGATTTCTGAATACAGAATGTAAGGGGCATCTATCTTGTGAATGATTTCATATCCATTCATAGAGGAAGGAAGTTTTTTCTTGAATTTCAACATAAAATTAAAATTTCTACTGGTAACCATCAAGCACTTGAATCTCAGAACTTGTGTGCCATCAGTGTACCAAGCCTTTTTATTTGTCTTATTTTCGCATGTATGTTACTGAACTTATAAAGTGGTTCTGGTCTGGCTTACGTACAGAAGGCACAGTGCTGTGTGCCCACTGTCCTCGGTGCCATTGTTGGAGTAGAGGTGTGCACTGTATGTATCAGTGCAGCAGTACTGGGTCTTTCTGGGCATTCTCAGAGGGCGGTTTCTTTTGCCTCATGGCAATGAGATGTTTGTTAGTGGCCTGTCCTGTCCTGGGAGAGTTAGGTCGGCCAGGGTGTGGTTGTCTGTGTGCCAAGACAGGTGCTTCCTTTGGTATCAGATGTGCAGACTGTGTTCTGTTGTCCTCCAGACTATGGGGACAGAGCAGAAGGTTCTGTGGTTTTTGACGTCCCTCTCTATACCCTTTGTTTGACAGGAACACCTGATAGAGAATGAAGTGTCCATACTGCGTCGGGTGAAGCACCCCAATATCATCATGCTGGTCGAAGAGATGGAAACAGCAACTGAGCTCTTTCTTGTGATGGAATTAGTCAAAGTAAGAGAATAGACAGGTTTTACTGGTGTCAAATGCCAAGGCTTGCAGTATTCCCAAGGGACCTAATTGGAAAGCAGTCTTCTGCCTCTTTCATTATTGTACACGTCCATCTGAGTGGCACTTGTGCCCCTTGCTCTGTCTACTCCAAGCTGATAAGCCACCCTTCTTACCCTCATAGGACTGTACTGTTGGCACTTTGATAAACTCTCTTGTATCTTTTAGGGTGGAGACCTCTTTGATGCAATTACTTCTTCAACCAAGTACACTGAGAGAGATGGCAGCGCCATGGTGTACAACCTGGCCAACGCCCTCCGGTATCTGCACAGCCTCAGTATCGTACACAGAGACATCAAGCCTGAGAATCTCTTGGTGCGTTCAAAATCTCTGCTTTTTTTTTTTCATCTCGTTTCTGGTTCCTTTAGGATGATTGTGATTCATTGTACACAATCACATACAAACAACGACATTTTAAGAGTCTAAACCAATATTGCAATCAGAAACAAAGAGAGAGACTTAAGAAAATCAGCAAGCTCAAGCTGATTGGGGAGTATTTGCATGCACATACCCCACAAAACCCTGATCAGTTTCTCAAACTGAAATTTTTGTTTTCCAGGCATTAGAAATGCATTTTTATATTTCTTTTGATGATTGTTAGTCAACTTCATATTACTGCAATAGAACATGTGACATAATTAACATGCAAAGAGAAAAGATTTTTGGTGCTGGAGGTTCTAGACTAAGATAGGTGGACCCATTGCCTTAGGTCAACGGATGGTGCGATTGCCTGATGGTAGTTGTGAAAAGCATGCGGTAGAGCACACCGCTCACCTTATAATCCAGGAGAAAAGAATGGAAGAAAAGGGACTAAGGTCTCTCAGTCTCTTTCGAGAGCACATGATGTTATAAGGACCTTGCACAAAGTTCTGCCTCCTGAAGGTCCCACCATCTCCCATTAGTACCACCCTGGGGACTAAGCCCTTAGCACATGGGCCTCTGGGGAACCTTAACCATCCCAACTTAAGGCAGTGATACTAACTGAAGAAAGGAGAGCAGGAATTTATGGGGCCAAAACTCTGAAGAGTAAGTTGGAGACCCGTAGAGGAACTGCGGGGACGGAAGCAGAGCACAGACGCTCATTCCTGTGCAGAACAGAGTTTTGGAAAGCGTCCATTCCCCTCAGCTTTGTGGATGTGGAAACTGAACTAAAATGTTATTTTTTTCTGCTTAAGATTGTCATTTGGTTCATTCTATAAAATGAAAGTCATTCTCCTGTGACATTCAGGGGCCTTCATACTCTGGTCCTAGTCTGTTTTACTGGCCTCTTGACCTTTTATAACCCTTCTCCATCTGACCCAGCATGGCACTCACCTTTAACCTATACTTAAGTCACTGTCATGGTGGACCTTGACAAATTCAGCTTACTCACTGGAGACAGTCCTCTGATCACAGTGGAGGTGGTGGTAACACTAACGGTTTATGTAGAAAGGCTGTGGGGTTAGACTCCAGAAATGGCCTCAGCTACTTACATACTTTGTAGCCAGAATTCTTACTATCTTCTTCCTGGAGGGAATTATACACGTGTAACATTATAAAACCAAAATATGAAATTCAAAGGACTACAAAATATTCTTTGAGAGCAGGGCATGGTGACTCACATCTGTATAGTACAGTAAGTTTGAGGCCAGCCTGGGCTACAAAGTGAGATCCTGTCTCAGAAACCAAAATCAAATAAAAAAAGATACTTTTTGAATACCAGCATATCACCACAAGTGAAGAATTCCATGCTTTGAAACACTGTTACTTGCACAAAATAACTTAAAATAATATATGAAATTATCTTCAGGCTCTATGTTTAAGGCATATATGAAACATAAGTTAATTTCTGGTTAGACTTGGCTTCCATCCCCAAGATACCTTCTTATGCTATATTCTTACGTCATGAGACCTTGTTTCTGAGCATTTTTTTTTCTTTTAAAGAGATGGTATCTTACTATGTTTTCCAGGCTGGCCTTGGATTCTCAAGCTTGAGAGCTCCTCCTGTCTCAGCTTCTTGAGAAGCCAGGACTACCCCTGTGTGTTCGCTCTACCATGCTTAGTCCCAAGCACTATTTTGTGTGCGTGTGTGTGTGTGTCACTAAGAATTTAACACGGGGCCTTTCTCATGTGATGAAGCAATCTACCTGAGCTACACCCACAGCCTGTCACTCAGTCTCTTAATGTGCATAGTCTTCTCAGAATCTACAACCACCCCAAGATAGATAGTGTATCAAGGGTAGATAATGTATGAGCACTGGTGTCTCCAACTCCTTATGTATCAGAATATAACCATGAAGTCAGATTCAGGTTCCTCCTCTCATCTAAATCAGTTTTTATTTCTTTTTAAAAGTTCGGCATCAATGGCCTTGTGGTACCCGAAGGGGAGGAAGAGGATGGTGATAAAACTGATGGTTAATGTAGAAAGTCTGTGGGTCAGACTCCAGAAATGGCCTTAGCAACTTCTGTATTTCTGGGCAGCATATGTGTCAACCATTAAAAACCAAACTACTTGTATATCTGTAGGTGTAATCAGCAGATGGGCATCATCCTGGGAGGAGAAAGTGCCATTGAGACACTGAAAGTAAATACCCAGTACAACTGTCAGCCTCTTCCTGTCTGAGAACTAACTCAGTTTTCAAACACCAGGGCATTCTGACATCTGATTTGCATCCCCTTCCCTGGTAGCAGTGTCATAATTTAAAAGCCTGCTGGCAGAGATGTATGGGTCGCCATGTCAGGGAGCATGGAGGGGGCCATTAATGCTGTGACTTGCAGCCTGGTGGTGCCCTGTCACTGTTAACTATGGGAGACTAGTGATAAATTCAGCTTTTCCAGGAGTTCTGGGGACCGAGGAGAGAAGAGGTCTGGTTTCTCATATTTGAAGGCCTTCTAAATCATTGCGCTGGCATTTTATTTAGAGAGCATGTGGGATTCACTTTGGATGTGAACCTGCATTCCTCACATTTTAAATTTCTCTGTTCTGCCAGCCACTTTTGACTGAGCATCCCTCAGTGTGTGGTGAGGCATTTGAATGTGGCAAGGCTGGAGTTCTCACAGTTGTAGTTTAAGTTCAGTCAGAAACTGCACGTGAGGGCTGCAGTCTGGCATCTGGTGGGTCTACTGTCATGTAGATACAGAATCCATTGCAGAGTGGTATGGTGGGATGAATAGGGTCCTGGCTGCAGAGCCTGCTTGGCTGCTTAACCTGAGTCCTTTGAGCCTCTGTTTCCTTGTCTGCAAAATGTAGGGGGCATTTCTCTTTCTGGTTGGCCAGTGTGGTCCCTATCCAAGTCTAATGGGATGTTTGAGAGAATTTGTTTAAATCTGCAGAGTTCTTGAGGATATGTCACTGGAGAGAACCGATACCTGCCAGAAAGCCTTGAGAACCTCTGCTCTTTTATTCTTCTCTTTGTAGTAGCCATTTCCCTTTCTCCCGTCCTTCCAGGGCCTTGTGCATGGTAGGCAAGTTCACTGCAGAGCTATACTCCCAGCTCCAAAGTCAGTTTCATAAAGTATTGTCACATGTGTGTCTTTGTCATATGATGTACAGTGTACATTTAATTTTCCTTAAATATTTGAAGAGAATCTCCAGCTAAGATTGGAAGGTTACTAATATCTTACGTACTTTTCTGTGTCTAGTACTGGGAAGAGATGATTCAGACCAAATACTAGTATTTCAGACTTGTCTGTCCCAGTGACACTTCCCTTTCTTGTTTAGCGAGGAGAGCCACTTGCCCTGACGTAACTCAGTAACCATAGACTGTTCATTCCCTTTCTATTTGTGCTCCTGAATCTGACTCTTGAGTTCTTGATAGGGGATGTGAAAAATGTTGCTTCTGAGACAGTATCTGACAACAGCCCCTAAGTACTTCTAGGCATCTCCAAAGTGAGTGTTTAAAATAAACACTTTTCAAAAAACAAAAAGCAGTACCTAATGAGTTACAAAAATAAGATAACAAAGACATTAATGAGTCTGTTTGACTTATGATGCAGACATTTAGGAAACTGTGCTTACACTGTTCTTACCACTGTAGTTACTTTGGGAATTTTGCTCTGATGTTTTGGTTTCAGTAAATGCATCATAAATCTTAACTAATTGCATTAGATTGTTCTTCTTGTTAATGTTTACATTAAACATAATGGGTGGAAAGTTGTCCTTTGTGGTGTGACTAAGACTCTGGACTCTGTGACTGCAGGCTAGATCATTTGTTTCTTTGAACATGCTTCTACTGAGTTGTGGGGCTCACTCCAAATGATGCATATCTTAGAGGGGCTCAGAATCCTCACCATTACTCCTAGGGCTCGTGAAAGTCACAGAGATGCATATGCAGTGCACACGCATGGTGCATAAGCACATAAGACACTGTAAATTCCAAGGCGAGTGATGTTCTTTAGCAGATGAAGACATGCAGGAAATGGAAGTGGGAGCAGAGTGTCCTTTCAGGGGCTGTAAAACTTGGGGTGATGGCAGAGGAAGCCCACAGGGTCTCCAGCTTTCTGTTGATGATGGTATAAATCATTCCCCTAAGTGGATGACATTATTAATATGCTTATCTTGTCAAAACACCATTTTCTAAAATTTCTTCCTCTGTAGTTTGTAGTGATTGAAACAAAAGTTTAGTGGTAAACTATGAGGAAAAGCAAACTGTTTAAAATACAAAATGGAGACATTCACATAGATTTTGCCTCTACAGTTATTGTTCTCTGAAATTCAGTGCTTTTCAGAATCAACACACAAAAGACAGTGTATGTTAGCAAGTTAAGGATTACAGAGGCAGTCCTGAATTACGCTGTTGCATGTGCTTATTGACTTCCAAAACTGTCTATTTGGAATATAATGTTCAGGCTTTTATCCTTTCAGGAGAGTTGGCTTGTACATAAAATGAATAAATGAATTTTTCTTAATTACAGTAACATTATATGTGATCATGTGAACAGACTGGAAACTGCTGAGCTCTAAGGAAGAAAGTTAAAGTAGCTTTAGTGTGCCCCCCAAACAGTCGTTTCCCTGAGACAGACCTATTGGCATCTGGGGGATAGGATTTGATGCACATGTCATATGTTTTAGTGCTTTTTACTTTATATAATATAGTCATTGGCTCTCATATGGTAAACATTTATTTGAAAAGAGCTTGTTAGCAGCTGTATAATTTTTTAATGTATTATAATTTACTTAGTCACTGCCCTATCAGCCAATTGTGTTGATTACAGTGTTTAAAAATCATAGTGATATTGGCATCCTGTGTACAACCTTTGGGTTTATTTCTCTTCCTTTAGAGTATATTCTTAGATGTAGGTTTACTGGGTTAAAGATGATAAACCAAATTAGGAAATCATATATATTACCAAAATGCTTTTCAGAGATGTGAACATGCATATCATTCTAGCTTTTTATAACATTTCCAATAAAGTGATCCTCTCTTCTCACCAGCTGATTCTTCAAGGAACTGGAAAGAATGTTTACTGAGCCCCTGTTCTTTGCCTTTATCTTATTAAACCCTTACAACAACTCCTGAAGAATTACCCCACTTCCCAGACAAGCATGCTCAGAGAGGGTAGGTGACTTTCTCAGGCCCCATGCCAGATGAGTCAAGTAGCTGTTCGTTTTTGTGCTGTCTAAGCCCCAGGTGCACTTTTTTTTTCTAGCTTACAAGGATTTTCTCATATACTATTTATAGTTTAGGTTAGGGGTGTATCTTAGTGGCAGAGCTGCATGCTTAGCATGCATAAGGCCCTGGGTTCAGTCCTCAGCACCATACACAGATCCAAAAGAGAGCATATAATAATTCATATTTCATTGGATGTCCAGAAAGCAGGGCTGCCAGCCCCACTCTAATTTTAATTTCCAAAGAAAGGTACAAGACTCTTGGAGAACACCTTGTGCCTTGGTGAATGTAGCACCCTTTCTTGGAGCTCTCTAGTATTAGCCTGCATTAAGCACAGGTCAATTTTCTGCCTGCTGACTTTGAGGCCTCTCTCTAGATTGTCATGCAAGCAGCCATCTCTATCTCTGATTGCATAAGCAACTGTAGGGGTTTGTTAGATTCCTAGGCAATTACATACTTTCTACAAAGATGGAAAATAATTTCACATAGTTGTGCAAAAATCTCTAAAGAGACTATTAGCTCTTTAAAGCAGTAAATATAAATCATGGTATTACCACCAGAAGAGATTTCTTTTGAGTTTTAAAATAAATGTGTGTCTCCTGTTTCATTCCATGGGCTCTCTCATAATTGTTGAGAAAAAAAAATCCTGATTGTTGGATGGTCTCTGTTGTAGGTGTGTGAATACCCCGATGGAACCAAATCTCTGAAGTTGGGAGACTTTGGGTTGGCGACGGTGGTGGAAGGACCCTTGTTCACAGTCTGTGGCACACCAACTTATGTGGCCCCAGAAATCATTGCTGAAACTGGGTGAGATTCTGCTGCGTTGTTATCAACACCGCTTTGTGTGTTCAGTGCGTCCCATGAAGGAAGACTGGGAAGCAGGGAGACATGACCTGTACCATGACCTGAGCCCTGTACCATGACCTTGACCTCAGGACATAGTTTGTTCTTACCTGGCCAAAAGCCCTAGGCCTGTCCTTCTGTCCCATGCTTAGTTTTGGGATGGGGCATTAGTTGCTGATTGTGGGTAAGTTGAGAGAAAAACAGATGTTTTTTTCCCAATGGATAATTCATGCCTCTGTGTGACATGAACAACTTGACAGCACAAAGACACCCCCCATTTCCTACCAAAGACAGAACTCCAGGAACGTGGAAGACACTCAGGAGTATATCAGTAGTCCCACACTGTCTTTTCCAGATATGGCCTGAAGGTGGACATCTGGGCAGCAGGTGTGATCACATACATACTGCTCTGTGGATTCCCACCATTCCGAAGGTCAGTGCAGTTTTGCTAACAATGTTTGAAATAATAAATTCTTACTTTGCTCCTGGCAGGAAGAACCCAAAACTGGTGAATAAAATTGCCAGTTTAAAATATAAATACACCTTTGGCTGTTTATCCTAATTTACAGGCTATTAATCTATATTCATTGGCTATATTTTTTTTTAATTTTATTTTATTTTATTTTATGTGTATGCGTGTATTGCCTGCATGTAGGTAAGTGTGCCTGTGTCGTGCAATGCCCGCGGAGGTCAAAAGAGGCTGTTGGATCCCCTGGGACTGGAGTTACGGACAGTTGTTAGCTTCCATGTGGATGCTGGGATTTGAACCCGGGTCTTCTGCAAGAACAGCCAGTGTTCTTAACTGCTGAGTCATCTCTCCTGCCCCACTGGCTATATTTTTTATTTATTATTTGGCATTTTGATTTGTGCTTTTGTGTGTTGGTGCTTGAACACAGGAATCATGTATGCTACGCATGTGCTTTGACTCTGAGCTGCACCCAGCCTCACCATACCTTTTCTTTGCATGTGGTCTTGAATTTCTTGTGGCCGTTCTTTTATGAAATACGTCCATAGTATAGTGTCTACACATTCCAGTTTTTCCATCTTCTTAAAGGAAAGTAAGATTTCAAGATCATTGTGAGGAGATCTGAATCTCCCAGGTGTGTTCTTTTCAAGTTTTTGGTAGTTGTTACTTTGACTTAGTTTGAGCGCTGTGTTTTAAACAACTTTTTATATAAAAAAACCTCACTTTTATATATAAACTCACTTTTTTTCCAAAGCATTCAACTTTGTTTCAAAAAAACAGGAACTCTTTAAATTTGTTGTAGTCCTTCAGGTATTATTTATTAGCTGAGAAGTAGAATTACAGAAACTTTTGGCATCAGCAGGCCTGACATGGGCAACCCCATTTCCCCGGTGAGAGCAGGATAGACACAATGAGCCACTGACATGTTAGCAGCCTGGTCAGCCTATATGTTGGTCTAGGCTGAGCCAGCCATGTTGGCAGCAGCTCTTCTTTGAACCTGCTTCATCTCCTCTTCTGGGACAGAAGAAATAACTTTGAGGCAGAAGTTCATTTACTAGTACATGTTTGCTTTTCTATGTTTTCTTGAGCTCTCTTTTCACTTAGCCCCTCCTTCACTTTATTTGGTGATTTGCTACTGTTTACCAGGCACTATTCTAAGTGCACAGTCCTTGCAGCTGTGATTTTAGATCATTGGAACTGCTGTAAGGAAATACCACAAACTATGTGGCTTATTAAGACTGGAGACTTAATTTTCACAGTGCTGGAAGTGGGAGGGTCATGATCAAAGCACTAGCAGGTTTGCTTCCTGGTAAAGGCCCACTCTGTTCAGAGGCAGCCATCTTTGATACTCACTGGCACACAGCAGAGCGGGAAAGGGAGAGAGTGCTCTAGGAACTTATCCCCAGTGTCTGTGGTGTTGTAGATTCAACCCAGGCCTTTTGCTAGGTAGGCACTCTTACACCAAGAGGTAACCCCTCTAGGCCTTTTATCAGGATTCTGTAATCCTACTGGTGAAGGCTCTACCCTCTTGACCTGTTATCTCCTAAGGCTGTCCCCCAGGGTATTTGCTTTTTCAACATAATGAGTTTTGAGGAAACACAAACTTTTAGTCTGTGTTGTACTAGTTATAGTGTTGTATGGGCCAGTAAATTTAAAAAACAGTTTATATTGTTCCAAACATTTTGTTATGAAAACTTTCAGGCCTGGGGAAAAATTAGAAAGTTTTAAAATTTTAAAAATTCTCAGATTTTTTTCAGTTGGATTCAACAATTTTTTTTTTTTTTTTTTTTTTTTTTTTTTTTTTTTTTTTTTTTTTAAAAAAAAAAAAAAAAAAAGAGGACGATAAATCTTTCACTGTGATATATCAAAATAATTTGAGACCGGGTTTCCCTGGAGCCCCAGCTGTCTTGGAACTCGCTATGTAGACCAGGCTGGCCTCAAACTCACAAATATCTGCCTGCCTCTGCCTCCCAAGTGCTGGGATTAAAGGTGTGCGTCACCACGCCTGGCGGATTCAACAATATTTTTGTTGATGATTACTGTTAGCAGAATGACACAAAAATGTTAGCCTCTGCTTTTGAGGGTCTTACATGTAGAGACTTTTATCACAAGGATAGTGATCAAGAAGAATTGAGTATTGCTTATTTGACTAGCTCAGGGGTAGCTAAACCTAGAGTAAACGCAGAGGAAATGAACTGACTCTGTATTTCACCAGATGGGAGGGGGTGTAATAATTTATGGTCGTTTTTATGGTCATTTGGGCCCTAGGCTGACTTTGGTGATGACTTGCTGGGGAAGCAAGACAATTGTAGAAGGATGGTGTGTTTTGCTAGCAGGTGATGAGGACCAGTTAACATGGAGTTCCCCTCCATGGCTAACCCAAGTTGAGATCAAGAGAAATGGATTTGGGGGTGGGGGTGGGGGTCCAGGGTTAAGGGAGTGTATGCTTACAACTCCCTCTAGTGTTTCTAGTTACCAATGCAGCCAGGGAGTTTTCTTTTGTCTTAACTGAAGTGAGGTTCAAGTTGGCTAGAATGGATTTATCATGGGCGTCACCAGCGGGCAGCGACAGCTTTGTGAGATCTAGAGATGAGAATGGCTGATCAAAAGTAGAACAGCACATTCTGAAGGCTGCAGCCCTGGTTTATCATATTCAGGAGCAGGTGCCCAACCATGCTGTCTTACTTTTAAATTGTAAAAGAATGCTTTCCTCTTCTTTAATGGGATAATCTGTGCTGTGAAACCCCAGTTTTAGAAGCCTAGTCACAGCACACAGGCATTCTATGTAGAGTTTATAACCTACTGTAACATAAAACATGTGGAAAATTAAGGAAATGGCAATTTAAATGATGAGAGTATAGAACAGACTACTTAAACATGTACCCAGGGCTGAGAATGGAGCTCCATTGGTAGGAGGCTTGCTTAGAAGCCTTTGGTTGAGGAGGTTCAAGGCCATCCTTGTCTTACATAGTGAGTTTGAGGTCAGGCTAGGCTACATGAGACTCTCTCTTAAAACAGAAATTATCTAAAGTGAAAGTCCTTTAAACAAACATTTCTAACTATTTTTTTTATATAAACTATGACTTTAATCCAAAGCTTTTGAAGTAAAATCGTTATTTGGAATTTACAGTGTCAGTGTCCCTTGTGGTGACACCTTGCTTTTATTCTTTGAAGACCTTTAGGTTTTAAGTCCTAGCTTGATTTCTGATCTCCTTCCTTTATTCTTCCCTCCCCGACATTAGACTCATCTTTATGAAGAAAACTGATTTTCAAAGATATCCAAATTTCCCCAAACAAGGCTGTGCTTAGAGCTGCTGATAAAATGTGTTTGTAAGGTTCTGAGATTCTTGAGTCATTCTCTCTTACCCACCCCCCACTCTCTCATGTTTGAATGTGTTCAAAATAGCTGACATTGTCAGGCTGCCTTTTCTGAACCTTTCATAATCTGTCACTGAAAGACTCGTGTTGGTTTTGAGGTCTTCATGCACAGTGTTAGGTTTGTAGCCATATGATCTAAGGGATGTATTGTTTTAGAATAAAAAAACATGCAAATGTGATGGTAAATCCAGTATGGACTCAATCAGAGTAGCAGTTCATACAGGACTACCAGGAAGGGCAGACTGCAGAGTCCTGTCTCCCCATGAGTGCCACGGCTCTGGCAGTTGACAGCCTTGCTCTTTGAGGTCCATTTTAATTGTGGGGTTTCTCTGAGTTTGCTGAGTTGGGATTGTATTGCCAAGAGCTCATGAACTGTTGTCATGTACATAGCTGCTATGGACAGACTTCCAGCCTTTAATTAGGTATTGGCGAAATCAAACCTGTATGAGTTACACGATATAAGCTGCTTGAGATTTGGGGGGAGATAAAGCAGAGATGAGGAGTAATAATGGGAATGGCCAAAAGTGGATAATTTTAAAAGGCTTCTAGCATCTGTCATCCTCTGGCTTCCAAGGGTTTCTGTAAAATCTCATTGTGTTCTTAGGTGTGTTTTTCACTCATTTTGAGGGAGCATTGAGCTGAATTGGTTTATAGGGATGTAGCCGTGTGAAGGAGAGAAAACACTTTGCTACCTTGAAGAAGTTTGTGCCACTCACTTTGCACAGGGACCTCTACCTAGTTGTTCACCAGCTCTGGCTCCTCAGTGGACCCTGAGCCTTCTGCTGTGTTCGTTTCCATGTAGTGGACACCCAAAACGCTCACAAATGCTTCTATTAAATCTAGCAGACGCAAGGCAGCCATGTTATCATATAGCCCTGGCAACTGTCTCTAGACACCCCTTAGTGATCTGCTTCTAAGGATACCACACTTTTTATCACCTTTGAGGGGGTGGGTGGCAAAACTCTGAAGGCTCAGTGGAGAAATTCTAAGAAATGTATATTCTTGCCAGCTAGTTACTGACTTACACTCCTAGATTTTAATCTGGACCATAGTAGTCCATTCTAGGTTTTCTCTTGGGGCTTGTGATAGCCCAAGAAAGTTAAAGATGTCTTCCTGTCTCTAGACACTCATGTGCTCACCAGATGCAGGGGCTCTGTGACTGTGGAGAAGTTTATGTGAGGTTGAGGGTGTCTGACATTCTGAATCTTTCCCTTTGGTATTTTTACGTTCTGCTGGCACCTTCCATTAAATGGAGTACCATTTGTTCCTTACTCATCACTGAGTGTTCAGGAAAGGGACAGCCAATGTAGGTTGGGAGATGTCCACCGTGGGGCAGCTGGGGTGACTTTGTCTTGACCTGAGCAAGTCGAGCTCTGGTATCTCTGGTTCTTTTTCTCACACTGAACATAGTGAGCTAGTTATGTCATGAGTTTAAAAAGAAATTCTAGGTTCTGAACGCGGTTTTACAGGTGTCGGCTGTCTTACTCATCTTTGTTGATCCATTGAAAACGTGGCAAGAGGAAGGCTGAGCAGAGCTGCTTTCCACTTGGTGCTTTGAGAGACGAATGAGGCTGCGCCGTCCCCAGGGTTTCCATTACTTGTAGGTTCTGTTTTTTCTTACTGGTTTTTAGTGTGTTAAATATATATAACATGGAACATAAAATTTCCCCCCCCCCCCCAAGATGGGCTCTGGCCATGTTGCCTTGGTTGGTCTTGCACCTCTGGGTCAGGTGATAATCCTGCCTTAGTCCTCCAAGTGTCTGGTGCTCAAAGGCATACTACCACGCCTGGCTCCTGTCTTAACCATTTTCAAGAGTACAGGGGCATTAAGTACACTGGTATTTTTGTGCAGTCATCAACACCATCTACCTGCAGATTTTTTTTCATCTTTCTAAACTGAAACTCTGTACCCATTACGCAGATTTCTTTAGTCACTTTCTCTGTCTCTGTGGTTCACAGGCCTATAGGAATGTATTTTGGCTTATCATCTAGGAGGAGAAACTTGTTCTCGCCGTGCAGGTGCATAACTGAGAAATGCCCAAGCCAGAGCTCTGACTCCTCTTCCTGTTGTTAAGAAATGCCACGCAACTGAATCTTTTCTTGTATTTCATTGTCACTTCTCAGTGAGAACAATCTCCAGGAAGATCTCTTTGACCAGATCTTGGCTGGGAAGCTAGAGTTTCCAGCCCCCTACTGGGACAACATCACAGACTCTGCCAAGGTACTGTGTAGGGCTGTTCCTGTGGGTTTCTGCATGCCCTGTGAGGGCCTCACCTATCATGTAATGCTAGAGTGACCCAGTCTGGGGCTCCAGGGACTTGGCTTTCAAGGTGTGGTCCTTCTGTAAGCTTATCCCTCAGTGGAGTCTCTGAAGTTCTTAAGCAGATTCTGAAACCTCGACCAGCTGTCTTCCTGGCTTGCAATAACCCCCTCCCCTGTTCTTTGAACCTCTGAACATGCATTCTTTTGCTTTTTCAAGAAATTTGTGTTGAACACTCTTAGAATATAAGAATGAACTCATGATATATACCAAATGGTGAAAAGGAAAATACTGCAGTATTACACTGTAGAATGATGATAAAGACCAGAGGTCGTAGGGGAGAGTATACGGGTTCCTGTAGGTTCAAGGGAGACTTTTCCTTTTGGCAGTGCTGTTTGTGCCTCCTAGCCACCTAGAGTGTGGGTGGTGTTGGCTTCAAGCTCAAATGGCACAGCTGCTGTGCTGGCTTTTGATTTCTGTATTTATGCTGGAATTATCCTTTCTCCTCCTTTGGTCTTCCCCTTCCCCTTTCCTCCCCTCTCTTGTCTTTATAGGAATTAATCAGTCAGATGCTTCAGGTAAATGTTGAAGCTCGGTGCACAGCAGGACAAATCCTGAGTCACCCCTGGGTGTCAGTAAGTACCCACTTCCAGGGAATGAATGCCTGAATATTGCATGGCCAGCAGCATGCCTATGCTGTGTTATACACAGGTGAAGTTGTGCATTCAAGTTCTGAGATAGACAGTATGTCTGTCCTGATGAGCAGGTAGCATGAAGAGAGCCCTGGGAGGAGGTGGCCGAAACCAGAAATTTTGATCCTGCTCTGTAACCTGGAGAGTCTGTTACATTTTGGACCTCAGTTTACTCATCTGTGAAGTGATGGGGTTGCCTATGATGCTCTTTAAAAACCCTTATGTGTTGTCCTAGTTTGCTTGCTATTGCTGTGATAAAACATTGACCAAAACCAGCTTGGGGAGAAAGGGTTTATTTCAGCTTGCAGTATAGCCCTTCATTGAAGGAAGCCAGGGAAGGAGCACAAGCAGGAACCTGGAGGCAGGAACTGAAGCAGAGGCCATGGAGGAATGCTACTTGCTAACTTGCTCCTCCAGCCTGTGCTCAGCCTGCTTTCTTACACAACACAGGACCACCTGCCCAAGGGTATCACCACCCACAATGGGCTGGAACCTCCCACATCAGTCAATAATAGAGAAATTCTTCCCACACATGCCCATGGGGACAGGACAGTTCAATAGAGAAGAATCCCCCAATTGAAAGTTCCCTCTTCCCAGGTGTGTCAGGTTGACAACCAAAGTGATCTAGCACATGTCCTGCTTGCTTGTTCTGGGATTTGTACTTTCCTCAGAGATGAGTGTTTCAGTCTGTGACCTCTGTGTTGTCATGGTATGTAGTCATGGCAATGTCCTCTCATGAGCCAAGAGGCAATTCACAGTCTCTTCCAGAGGTGACAGAGAGAATGTGGTGTTCAGCAGAGCTCCTTCTGGGTTTTGAAGGAACACAGTGAACTAGAGTTGGTTCTCCCTCCATTTCTAAGACTTCCAAAGAGTGATTTAATTAGCCACAGGGTTGTGTCATCCTGTACACCTCCATTACCCTGCTTACTGCTTTCCTGGGGCAAGGGATTTGCTCCTGGAGGAAGGAGGGGATGAGATGCCATGTCTCTTTGTGAAGAACAAAGACTACGAACTAAACTTCTGTATCAGGGACTGAGCACAGAGCCTCAAGCATGCTAAAGCATGTTCTCCACCACTGATCCACCAGCCCCTACTCCTAGAACTTATTTTTTAACTTAAAAATGGGTCAAACTCGGGCTCAACCCATACTTCCTCCTCAGTCTACCAAGTAATCAGAACTATAGATATGCATCACCGTACCAGGCATGAATTCTGGGTTAAAATGATGAACTATTAATTTTTATGTTTTCATGGGAGGATGTATACTGTATATTTCTGTTAGTGGGGACCTGTGCTTTCCCTTTGGCCTTCTCTAGGAGGGAGTGGATGGGACCAGGTCCTTCTGAGGGCATGACACTGCTGAATAACAATAAAGTCTTTTATGTGTGTGTTTGCCATGCTGAGGATGGAATCCAGGACCTGGGACATGGCAGGCAAGCACTCGCCTACTGAGCTATTCAGCTGCAACAATTATTTTTGAATATTATTTCCTTAATCCTGTGGCTAAAATGGGCCTGTTTCGGAAGAGGTCATGAGGCTGATGGGGAGATAACTGTTAAAGACAGGGCAACTTAAATGTTGAGGATCAGAAATCAGTTTGATTCTTTTTTTTTTCTGTAGGATGATGCCTCCCAGGAGAATAATATGCAAGCTGAGGTCACAGGTAAACTAAAACAGCACTTTAATAATGCGCTCCCCAAACAGAACAGCACCACCACCGGGGTGTCCGTTATCATGGTAAGTGGCATGCAGTACTCAGCCTTGGAGAGCTGGAGCATCTGGCCTGTCTGCTAAGTTGGAGTTGTCTTCTGAGCTAGATGGCCAGGGATGCGCTCATGGAAGGATGCCTTCCATGGTCCTGTCTTCACAGGAAGATCGGCTGGCATGTGAATGGCATTCTTCAGCCCCACAAGGCAGGCTAGGAGCTGGTAGGTGCTACCAGAGCCACACTGATGGGTAGGTGCCAAGGAGCTTCTGGGCTCTAGGGCTTCCTGGGCAGTTGCCTCCCTCTTACCCCTGCTGTTACATCTAGGGAGAAATTGCAAGCCTAGGCTGAATGGACGTGTAAGTAAATAACACCTGACTCCAGGCTTCAAGTATAGAGTGTTTGAGGCATGAATTTTTCTTTGGGATTTGGGGAAAATAAATAGCCAAAGAAAACAGCTTTCACCTTTTAAAGTTGGTATTTGATAAAAGACAGTTGGGATTTTTAAAAGCTATAGAAGAATATTTTTTTTAATGTTAGTTTTTTCATGGTTATTAAAAGATTTTGTAAAAAGGACTGAAGAGATGGCTCAGCGGTTAAGAGCACTGGCTGTTCTTCCAGAGGACCCAGGTTCAATTCCTAGCACCCACATGGCAGCTAAAAACTGTCCATAAATCCAGTCTCAGGGCCTCTTCTGACCTCCTTGGGTAGGACATGGGTGCACTTACCTACATGCAGGCAATACACGCATACACATAAAAACATAAAAATTAAAAAAAATATATATTTTTTTACATGTACTAACAGTGATCGTAATTTTACAGACTTTTCTTCTCCCAGAATGCTTAAGGTGGTGTATCTAAATACATAGACATAACAAATGAAAGTGAAAAGTAACATCAAGGAGAGCACTGTCCTAGTTTATTTCTCCAGTGCTGTGACAAAATACTGACCAGTACTAACTTGGGCAGGAAAGGGTTTATTCAGCTTACATATCCTGGGTCACAGTTCATCCGGGAGCCCAAGGTAGGAACCTGGAGGCAGGAGCTGGAGCACAGGCCATGGAGGAACTCTGCTTACTGGCTTGTTCCCCTGGCCCCTCTCAACTTGCTTTCTTATACAACACAGGACCTGCCCAGGGGTGGCACCATCCACAGTGGGCTGGGCTCTCCCATAGCACTCAATAATCAAGAAGATGCCCCACAGACATGGCCACAGGCTAGTCCAATGAAGGCAATTCCCCAATTGAGGCTCCCTCAACCCAGGTGTGTCAACTTGACACTAAAGCTGTCCAAAATTGACCCCTTGCCATGTTGACATACAAACTGATTAATCATAGCTGATTCTTCAGCCGCAGCTGTCCAGCCCCAGCTGAACACTATTAAACCACAACCATTCCATTTCTTGTCCCCAAGATATGTTAACATTAATATCACAACATAAGACAGTACAATCTTAAAAGCCCCACAGTCCTTCAAAATCCACTTAAAAGTTCATAGTCTCTTTTTGAAAAGTCTCTTTCATTGTGGGCTTCTGTAAAATCCAAAACAAGTACTGTCTTATTTCAAAGGGAAGAACCGGGCACAGCTAAACAAAACCAAAGTCCAGCAAAGTAGCTCGAGGCTGGACATCTGGGATTCACTCACGATCTTCTGGCCTCCAAAGAGTTTTGGCAGCTCCACTTCTCTGAGTCTGCTGTCCACAGCACACACAGCTCAACTCACAGACTCAGCCGGCTCCATTCCATATCTACTGCTGACTTTGGTGGTCTTCCCACACTCCTGGCATCTCCAAAAAGCTGGGGTCCTGAAACTAAGGCTACACCTTCACCAGTGGCCTCTTGTCTCTTAGGGTGCAAAGCCTCAGATTCTCTCCATGATCACTTCCATTGGGGGCTTCACTGCAACTGAAGCTGCACTTTCACCTATGGCCTTTCCTGGTCTCAGTGTGCCAAGCCTCAGCTGCTCTCTGTGACCCCTTCATGCTTTCAACACCAGAACCATGCAGGAGACTCTTACACGTTGAGATAGAGGCTTGCACCCGCTCTCAGCCACAGCTTCTGTGTGCTGACCCTGAGGAAATACCTCCCAGAAGACTTCACCCTGGTGATGCTAGTCTCTTGTTACTTACAGCTGATTTTTCAGCTCCAGCTAACCAATATCAGTTGTCCCAGTAAAGCAAAGGTCTTACTTCAGGTTCTGGTCTCTTCTTTTTTTTGTCTTTTTGAAGCAGGGTCTCCCTGTAGCCCCAGCTGTCCTAGAACTCACTCTGTAGGCCAGGCTGGCCTTGAACTCACAGAGATCTGCCTGTCTCTGCCTCCCAAGTGCTGGGACTACAGGTGTGCGCCACCACGCCCGGCTCTGGTCTCTTCTTAATCACAGCTGATTCTTCAGCCCCAGCTGACCAGAACCTGCAGCTTCTTAATTCAAGATATCACACAAACAACCCTGATAGTCTCCACTTCCCTTAAAGCTTCACAAGTCAGCCTTTCATTGTTCACAACTCTTTCGGCATAACTGTTCCAAGCTCCACAGCAACAAACTCTTAAGTACCCAATGGCTTTTCCAACCCAAAGTTCTGAATGCTTCCACAATCCTCCTAAAAATACCAAGGTCAGGTGTGTCACAGCAAGCATCTACCACCTCCTGCACTGCCCAGGTGCAAACCAACCAGCCAGCAGGCATCCCTGTCCTTATGCCCCACTCATAGGAGCAGACAGGAGATGAAAGACCACCTTTCCCAGAGCCAAGGTCAGGGTCAGCTTGCGGGGCAGCTTCTCAGGGGGTGAGGTGCCCGAGATGGACTGGCTCAGCAGCTCCATCATTCCTCATTCTGGACCAGTCTGTTGCCTCCTGGGAACGATTCTGTTGGTTCATAGCCGACCCAGAGGGAAAACTATGGCTTATTTTTATAAACATAAACACTCTTGGTTGAGGTCTGCCATGCTTTTCTTTCCTCTAGGGAGGCTAAGTTCATTGTCATTGGAACCCCTGCCTCCTGCCAGGAAGAGTCCTCTCCCTTCCCTCTCCAGACAAAGCTTGGGTCTGTAAACTGGGCTTCGTGCCACTTTGCAGGGCTTTGGGGTGCTGCATGAAGACAGGAAGACACAAGTTGTCGTTTTTCTCACCACTATAGCAGTGTTTCGCTACAAGCCTGAGAAGGTCTGAATTGTCACAGATTTACGGCTTAGTTGAGTTGAAAAGGACCATTGCTGCTGAACCAACTGCAGGAGCACAGCTCCATGTGATGACCTTTTGAGACCTGACCCCGATAGGTGGGAGAAGCCACGTGCAGCCTTGCCACGCATGGCATTATAGGCGGCTTGTGAGGAAGTGTAGAAAAAGAAAAGTCACTAAGCATCTTCTGGCTAGGGGAGCAGCTCTGTGCAGAATATGGTTCACATGTGTATGTCCCCCAGCAATCCCCCAAATGTATATTTAGCATATAGTGAGAAATCATTAAGAGATTTGTTGGAATCAAAATTTAATATCATATGGTAATAAGCTTTATGATTAAAGAATAAGCCTTTTAGCCCTGTATCCAGTACTTAGGAGAATTCACCAGTGAGTCATTTGGATTTGGGCCTGGATTGGAATCAATGGCCATAGGCCTGTGTCCCGAATCCTGACCACTGAAGCTCAGCTGAGGTTCTAGGATGATTGGCCTAGTGTGGGCTGTGTTCTGGCTAATGTGGCTATTCTTATCACTTACCAATAGCACTTTTCCCTTTGCTAATGGAATCAGTCAAATGTCAAACCCTTGAGTTTTAACTGGATGTTAGGGTCCATGAACAGCTCTTAATTATTTGCAGTTTCAATGATGACTATGCAAAAGTTGGTGTTAACATATGTGCCAGAATTATTTTGTACATTTTAGTGGCATCCCAGCCAACCCCAGGTTCCCTGTATAACCCTGCAGGTTGTTAATCTAGATGAACTGCCAGGGAATCATAACATTACGAATCTACCAGAAAAATTCCTAGGGCTTGCTTTTGCCAAGTCTCTCTTCTTGGTGGCTCCAAAGCCAGCCTGCAAATTTTGCCTTATGCTCAAAAGTAGCAGAAAGCCTCTTGCTTGGCCTCCCCAAGTCATGGGGGACCTAGGCATGGGTAGGGTGTGATGCTTCTGTGCCACCCTCCTCCTCCTCCTCAGCATCCTGATAATACTTGGAGGCATCCTATATTTGGGAAGAGTTTTTAATGACTTCTTTTATATTAAAAGTAACCACAAAATGCCTGTCTGTGGCATTAATTTGCCATTACTGAATCTGTGAGTTCAGAAGCAGTAGAGTAGGGCATGGTATGTGGCTGGATTGTTAGACCCCTATGTGTAACTTAGGGCCTTCCTGTCTCGTCACCTCTGTGGTCTCCCCAAAGTTGGTACCTGAGGCTCCAGTGAATAAAATAATAGGATAGGAATTGTTTTTTTTTTTTTTTTTTTTAAGGTGAAAGCAATTAAAGGTGATGCTGTTGTTTGCGTTTCATTTGACAGTTTGATTTGACAGTTTGAGAGACACTCCAGAGTTTCCTTCTTTACCCCGTTGGGACTATGGGAAATCCCGAAGCAGATCCTGGTATTCAACATGCTGTGCTCAGAAAGCACTCCTGAGTCTCAGCCCCTCGCCCATCTGCATGCTTGTCTCAGATTCCTGAGCACTGTGCAGCTCTTAGCTTCCCGCTGGTTGGGTCCTCTGCACCCACTGACCTCCTTCTGGTCAGCCCAGCGCACCTTTGGGGAGCTTTGTGTTAAAACCTCAGCTTTTCAGTCTGCTTTCCTGCCCAGACTAAGTGAGCCCAGGGCTCAGGAGCAGGGTTCCCGAGGCTCCACTCTCTGCCCTTTGCACCTCAATGAAACACCGTCTTCTGGGAGTGACAGCAGGAGATGGGTGTCCTTGTGCAGGGTTTTGTACTTTCTCCCACGATGTTTCCAGAGCTGTGTTCTGTCAGTATGACAGTGCAGTCAGCCAGCCTTCAGGATAAGAAAAAGACTGTGTTGGGTAGGTACACAGTCAGGCTCTGGGTCACACTTCTGTTTTCTCATCTTAGCATGCTGAGGACAGGACAGCACACTGGGGAGGTAGTGTCTCTGTCCAGTGAGGGCCAAAGCCTCAGAGACCAGGAGGGGCCATCTTGTGGCAGAGAAGGGAATGACATGACACCTCCTTCCGGGGTCTCTCAGAGAGAGAAATAGTAGTCAGGTGGCCTAGTGTTCCACCCCAGGGGGGTGCCGCTTTGTGTTAGAGACAACTTGGGGGGTGCTTTGGGGTTATTTCATTAATGAAAGACAGACAAGACTGTTTGAATCATGTTGCTTCTGTTGAAAGTAAGTCTAGTTTCTGTCCCTGCTTCTCTCTCCTCGCCTCTTCTGCCGCTGCATTGCTTCCCCTGACTAGGTCCAAGGCCACGGTATGTACTAACTGCACCGCAAGCTTCCCTCTGCTGCGCACGCCTGTGTTCCCCTGGCAGGAAGAGAAGAGGAGAAATGATGAGGGATTGTGGTTTTCTTCTACCCAGGAGAAAGGCTGTGGCAGAAAGAGGCCACCTTGCCTCTGCCGTGGATGTCGGGCCGTTTCATGGGGAGTGGTCAGCCTGATACCAGCAGCTTGCTTGCTGCGTTTCTGAGTAGGCTTTTCCACACTCACCTTTCCTCCAGTTAATTGAAATTGTCCTTGGAAAGCATTGAATGTTCAGCTTGAGTTTGGCAAGAGCTGCAGGGAACACGGCAATGAAGGTGGTCAGCTACCTGCTTCTGTGGGTGTCTTGCCACTTCTTGCTTTCTCCAGCCATTTTTGACCCGTGTAATGTCTTGGAAGAATCTACAGTACAGTTCCCTGCCCAGTGTAGGCAGACTGCAGAATGCTTCCTGTTCCCTTCATCAACAGCTTGAAGGGGTCCCCCAGACCTGCAGTCCCCCGACACTTAGAAACCCAGTGAAATGGCAGTTGCTGGCTCCCAGTGGACAAGCAAACAAGACAGACTCCAGCGAGGTAAAGAAACCACAGGAGCCTAGACACTCCCAAGATAGGTCAGAAAGCAAGGAGATTTCCTTCCGGCACTCCCCCTTGAGGAGGAGAGCTGACACAACTTAGGGGACACCCAAAGATACAGGCCTCCCTCACAGGAAGAAAGGGGCAGGCAAGGGGACCACAGAGGACCTAGACAGTGGCCGGCACCACCCCAGGGGATTCCTGGGCACGTTATAGATGCCCTTGAGTTGTGAGGGCATTATTGATTTATGACATGAGTGCCTTTTCCATCTGTGACAAGAACTTTCCTCAGAACCAGCTAAGATCCAGTAGCCTGGCAGTCTGGGATTGACCCAGCAGCCCTAGGTCTGCGTGTGAGACCACCACTTAGAACTCAGGTGCAGCCCAGAGCAGAGAGGTGACCGGCTGGCCTGGGAGCTGTGGTTTTTCCTCTCTCAGCCTCCAGCCTAGGTTGTGATAGGAGCACAGACAAAGGGCAGCATGCTGTTGCTTGGCGGGGGCACACCTCAAATCGTTTCTCTTATGGTTCTGGAAGAAGTTAGAAGCTTGATGTATTTCTCCTCTTCTGTTTCTGGGTCCTGTGCATGCTGTCGTACTTTCTGCTTGTGGCGATGTTGTGGAACGGGGCCAGGGTAATGTGTCTGCTGCTTTCTCCCCAGAACACGGCTCTAGATAAAGAGGGGCAGATTTTCTGCGGCAAGCACTATCAAGACGGCAGCAGACCTGCGAGGGAGCAGACCTTGCCAGTTCCTCCTGCAGCCCAGGAGCACTCTGCAGATGAGGCAGCCGCCCCGGCCCTAGCCCCTGCCCCTCTGGAGTCCCCCACGCCCCCTTCTCCTCCTGCCACCTCAGGCTGCAAGCGGGCAGGGGTCTGGCGCCGCCACCGAGACTGAGCCTTGCTTAGACAGGCCGAAGTCGCCCTCTGCCACGCCAGGAAGGCCACCCTTGCACCAGGCCTCGCCATCTACCTGATGAAAGAGCCTTTCTCTCCTGACTGTTTTTTGTCAGTTTGCTGGCATCTTCTGTCGCTGCCTGGGAACAGGATTGAGGCATCATGGAGCCAGTGTGGCCTCTTGCACTCTGGGCTCTGCCCTCTAGTTCCTGCTGGTCAAGCCAAGTCCATTTTGGAGACATTTGGAATGACTTGTTTTAAATTATTTGTGTTTCTAGTTCATTGGCCACTTGGCCACTTTACCCAGAGAGTGTGCAACTTTTACCCAGAATTAAATGATTTTTATAGAAACACATTGGCCGAACCAGGATTCTCCTTACTGAAGGTCACTGTGATGCTCTCTTCTCACAGAGGATACAGCTGTTTGTCTCTTAGTACTAAGTCCTCTGAGAGGCAGCACGCCAAGACATCTTCCTCGACTTAGGGGGCACAAGGGGCCTGGCTTCTGAATACAATGAGTACGTGAGGGGTCACTCTGTTGTTGGTCCGATACCTGACTGAGACGTGCACGCAGATGCCCCCAGGAAGCAGCTCGTCTTTGGGGTGCAGGGCTCACCTGAGACAACTCAGTATTTATTTGTTCACAGACCAAAGGCGGTTGCTTCTTTCCTAGCCGACAGGACCTGGGTTTCCCTTGCATTATTAGGAAATGCGAATGAAGTTGCCCTGTGGGTTTTTAATGGAAGGGTCTGTCCTAGCAGAGCAGGATCAGCTCGTCTGAGTCACCACCACGTCCCCTCTCATCCTTTTTTTGTCAGGAGCAGACAGGAAGCCCCTCGGTCTGCCAAGGCCCAGTGGGGACCGGGGTGCAAGGTGCTCCTTGACTGTCCTGTGACTGACCTTCTGGAAGGCTGCTGGCAGTTTTCCCTGCTTTCCACCACCCTCCTCTTTTTATTAACTGTACATAACCTGTGTATTTGTTTTACCTGCTCATCCTCTGAATGGGTGGGCTCTACAGTTCCCTCTCATTATTAGATTTTACCTTTTACAATTGTCCCCAACCTTAAATAAACTCTTCCCTCTTCAGAAAAGCCATCAGGGATGGGCGGAGGTTTCTGTGTGATCCTTTCTCAAAGGGCGTGCGATCAGAACACCTTGTCCAGATCCTCAGGTGCCAATGTCTGGGGCCAGCACAGGAAGAACATGTGCAGTTGTGTCTTGGCAGAAATTAAATGATCACAGATGCAGGGACTCCTAACTACGGCTCCAAAATAAATGTGCATTCACAGTGTGGAAGCTTAGGCACCAGCAGCAGGGTTGGGGCTCATAGGAAATGATTAGCAGCTGTTCCTGTGTCTTTCTGAGGCCGTGTCTCTGCTCTCTCTGCCTCAAAAGCCGCAGGTTTCCCTGCAAAGCTCTGCTTTCTGCTCATTGACATTGCTCACCTGTGCCTCAGATCACCCAGAGCTGCCTCTGTCACCTCCTTCTCAAGGCTCTACAGTGCTCTCTGCCTGAAACCATTGACCTTACTCTAGCTCTCTTGGTTCACATTGCTAAGGGAATGTGAAGCTGATAGGCCCACTGACCCTGGATTCTACCCAAAGGCCTGCAGCTATAGGAGGAAGACATGCTCAGGAAAGCTCTGCGCTGCAGGTCCAGAGCATTTTCGTGCATCTCCCATTGATTGGTTCAAGAGCAGTCTTTTCTAAAAAAAAATTTACTCTTATTTCTGTGTTATGTGTGTATATGTGTATACACATGTGCATGTGCTTGCACATGTGCGTGCAGGTGCCCTCAGAGTCCAGGGAAGGGCATCAAAAGCCCTGGAGTTACAGGCAGTTGTGTGTCACCTGCCATGTGTCCTGGGAACTGAACTCAGGTCCTCTGGAAGGGGAACAAGTGCTCTTAAATCACCGAGCCATTTCTCTACCCCTAAGAGCAAGCTTCTTCATAGCTTCTCTGGTTTTTTTTTTTCCTCCCTCCCAGAGAGAAGAGCTAATGTAAAGGAAAGAGAAAAACAGAAACAGTGGAACAGGGTCCCTGCTGCTGATCACAGCGGGCATCATGTCTCCTCCTCTTCAGCTGTGATGCTCACAGATGTGCACTAAAGACTGTGTGGCTACAGCAGTGCTGGCCTCTGGTCAGAAAGGAGGAGCCCTTTTTGTCTAGCATGTGTCTGTGTGTTGGTGGCAGGTGGGTGGTGCAGCTGGGCATGGCACTGCTGCCTCGGGTCGTTTTCCTGGTGAGTAGGACCCCTCGGAAACCTAGAGCCACAAGTATACTTGGTAAGAAAGGAGCAAACCAGGACGTGACCACCCAAGACCAAGGCGCTAGCAAGAGGTGGAGAGCCACCTGTGGCTGCAGGCTTCCTCATGGAGCCCATGCTCATCCAGGCAGGCAGGCTGGTGCTCCTGCACAAAGGTTTTGAAACGTGGTGTTCTTTGTCCTTGCTGTGTGAACACTTAGAAGCTCTAGGTCTGTTCTCAGAATCCAAATTAAATGCGGGTATTTCGTTTTAAGGGGCTGCTCAAAGCCTATTCAGAGAGAAAAGCATGTGCTTGTTTGTGTCCATTCCCCTCCTGAGTGGGGATCAGTGTCAGA